TTTTTTTTTTTTTCGCACAAAAAATGGAACAGATTATTCACCACATTTATCTTCAATCAAGTGTTTCACATTGACAGAATAAATATATTACTTTTCGTTGGACATATTCACATCTATCATTATATTAAAAGAATAACCATTTTAGAAGTTTTCCACCAATTTTATCTACATTACCCGCCAATTATCTAGATAAATTCACCAGCCAATTTCGTTAAAAGTGTCCTAAAAAATAGTAAGTGTCCAACAATTTTGAATAAGAAAACAAATCGACTGATTTTTAGGGTAGAAATTTGTTATTTTCTTTTCTGTTTTTAGTATCTTTTCTGCCTTTAAAATCGTTTTCAATTCCAATAAAGTTTATCCCTAACATAAATCTACACGAGTTTATCTCTCATTTGTTATGAAATCCAATACACGTCTTGCAATTTAAAAAATCTCATCTCTTATCTCGCAATTTAAAAAATTTTATCCCTTATCTACATATTTAAAATAATTTAAAAAATCTCATCTTCGATTTAAAAAAATTCCCTTACTAATATTTTTGCAAATATTATAAACTAGCAATACATCCTTGATAACAACATAAAAAGTATAATAATAATTTTAAAATTATGCGTAATCAAATTTTGTTAGATGAAAATAACGCTATCTGAATGTCTTTATTAAATTAGGCTTATAATATTTTAGATACTTTAAACAAATTGGTTAGACATTTTTTTTACATATTCGTCTATATATACATATATATACGCACATGTATACCTAATTGATGTTAAATTTAAATATATGTAGACATGTTTTCTTTACAAAATAGTCTAGAAAATTCTTTTTTGCACAATATTAAATTCAAATGATTTTAGATATGTTTCTTTTTAAAATTGTTTAGAAAAGTTGTAGGTGACTTCACATCTTTCAAAAATAATATAAATTTTTTTGAATACTTTTCCATATACTAATATAATATTTTAGATATTTTAATATTAAACATCCAAATTTTATATTCTTATACAAAATCATGCAAATTTTATATCCTCTTATACAAAATAATTTTATATTGTTTGACCCTGAATCTTCAATTTATAATTATTAAGTATTGTTTAT